CCAGCATCCTCTTTGACATTGACAAAAAGTTCTAGCCTTTAAAATAAAAAAGTCGATCAAAATCATGCCGATTCTCTGAAAGTTAATAATTCTCTGAAAGTTAATAATTCTCGAGTTCTTTGATTAAAAAAATTTATTTCAAGAAATTTGAACTTGCTATACAGTTAAAGAAAAATTTTTTGATTTGAACGTCATTTCTTGTGAAATCAAATAAATTTTTATTTTCCTTATAGATATTTTCATTTTAACTTAAAAAAATTATCAGAAGAAAAACAATTTTTTCAATTTAAAATAACTTTTTTTTAGATGTGTTTTGAATCACTCAGTACAGTGCTTATAAGTAGCAAATTCATCCTTAGAGTCATCACAATGATTCCATATTCATGATCGTTGACATTTCGTAAATACTGTGCATTGTAGATAAATTTAAATATATTATGAGTGTATCAAAATATACACACACACACACACACACACACACACACACACACACACACACGCACGCACGCACGCACGCACGCACGCACGCACGCACGCACGCATGCACGCACGCGTACACACACACACACACACACACACACATACACAATTTCGAGATTTGTGCAGAGTCACAAAAGTGGTTTTTCCGGCAGGGAACATACGATCAAGTATAAAAAATGTTTATTTTCTCAAAAATAATGTATTTTAAGCGTTTTTTGATATCATTGATTCTAATTCTGAGCATATATTTACAAAATTTCCCTAAGCGCGATATTGACAACATAAATAAACATAAACGTATAGACTCAGAACTTTTTAACATTACCCAGATCTAACGGCGTAAACATAGAAAATTTGTAGCTCTTTTTTTTCTTTTTTATTTGGTTTTTAATTTGTTATTTTTTATTTTTATTTTTTTCTTGTTTTATAATTTTTTAATTTTTTATATTTTTTTTGTATATTTTTCAATATATATATTTTATGCGTTTTATATAATTTTTATTTTGTAAATATCGACAATAGGGGTTCCAGTTCAGATGATCTTACATATATGTTGTCATGATCCTGAATGACCTTCAGATGGTTTTAATTGGTGTGCTCGTCTTTCATTTATTAAGTCTGATGGTTTTGTAAGTCTCTGATTATTATTGTAACCACAATTGTTAAATTGAAAGCAAATTCAACGATGAATAGTAAATGTACACGGAACAGTGATTTTAGAGTTATCCTTATTATAATAAGATGATACTTCTATATGATACAGGATGGATAATGTTAAAATCACTATTCCATGTACATTTACTTATTATTTATCGTCATTGAATCTGTTATTTTCATTACAGTATAAGTAATCAGACTTAAAAGAATCACTAAATATCGATTTTCATGTTCGGATTTTTTAAAATTCTTGTTCTTCATATTGAATCACTTTTCCACCATTTTAAATTGGACATTTTTTACTTCAGATTTGAAATCAGTAACCAAAAAAGACTACACATCATGCTCCTGTATTCGATGGCTATGCATCAGACTCGAGAAGATATCGTGCATTGTAGGTGACGCGAAGGCTGTTTCGACACTTTAAATTCAATAATTTCTGCACAAGTGCGCGGAAATTAGTTTTTTAAAAAAGGATTTAAACTAGTAACATACAACTATAAGTTTAAATTGTCAGATATTTTTTATGATTTTCTTTCTTTCAAATTATTTGGTTTTATATTTCAAAATTTGTCAATTTTTTTTCGATTTTTTATGTTCGATTTTTCCAGTTTTTTTGTTTACTATTTGCATAAAACTTTTATAAGCATCGAAAAAATATTTTTAATATTATTGGAACATTTCTGAGTTAAATGCCATAAAATAGACTTCGACATCATTTTTTGTTTAGCCAGAAAAAATTAATAAAAAAGTTACTTCCGGAAAAACTTACTTGCGGTTATTTAACAAATGGAGAGTAATAAAAAAAAAACAGATAACATCGTCGTTTTTAATGCATCAAAAACCTACGGAAACATCTTTCAAAGTTTAAAGCACAAGACCATCCTAAATTTTGTCGGCCTGTGTTATTAGAGATGCAAGATGCTGTAATGTACCAAAACAAATTAATTTTAGAATTAGATGAAACTCTATTTACAGAATGTTTAATAGACTGTTAGAACAAAACAAGCGATAATAGCAGCATTATCATATTTCATTCTTTTTGATTTTTTGGTAGTATTTGAATGGGAAATGAAGTCATTTTTTTTAATTAACTACTGATTTAAGTGTTGAATCTTACACCACAATCTCCAAAATTATTGTTGAAACAATTAAATATATTTCTTACCTCAAATAATGATAATTTGACAATTGAATAAAAAATATGATGTATAAATATTTTCATTTTATCGAAATTGTACCAATTTATATGACAATAATTTTCAATCCTCAATTTAAAATACTGGGATTTGCATAGATGGAAAATACCGAAAAAGCAAAAATGTTGAAGTATCTATTACATTTGATTAAAAGTGTAGTAAATAGAAATAGTAATAAAAATGCAAAGACAAATATAATCGAAAATACTTTCAATGATTTAAATTAATCGATTAAAATCCTGTTCGCAGTTATATTATAGTTGGGAACAGTCGTCGCATGATAATAGATAATGTCGTCAAATCATTAAATAGTTTGAAATATGTCCTTTAATATAATGTACAATTGGAGAATGAACGTACGTAATTTTGTCCTGTAGGCAAGATGTAATGTATAAGAATTATGTCAGTGAAAAATTATTAATATAATTAAAAACAAAGAAATTGATAAGAATAAGAGATAATATAATACAGTATGCAAACATTAATAAAAGTTAATTAATTTTGTAATATTATATAAAATCTATATATTATATAAAATAATAATTTAGTAACAACTAAAATTAATAGGAATAAATATCTTTAATGTAAAAACGAAGTTAATTCAGTAAAAAATGAAAAATGTTTTTGTCACAGAAGTTGGTTAGAATTAGAGACAATGCAATAAAAATAAAAATAATGTATTGTCTCTTCGGTGTTATGAGACATTGTGAAATTAAAAATTGACATGAAGAGAAAGAAGGAAAAGATTATGTGATATGAAGATTGGAAATTAGTGGGAAGTGGGAACTAAGAGGGGATAGAAATGTAAATGTAGGTGAAGGGGGAGGGAATATACAAGAAAGAGGAATTCGATTAGAGAGTGCGTGAGTATGTGGAGCGTGTGAATGCGGCGGAGGAAGCTTGATGCTTTTCAGGACGGGTGGCGATGAATTTGGTTGTGGAAAAACAGAGGCGGAGACGAAATAAAATAAACTATATAAGAGATAATAGTCGCGAATTAAAGAAAGATAAGATACAAGAAAGAAAAGGAGAAATTATGATTCTAATAAAAATAAAATTTTGTTTCTACATAATTCATAAATGAT